TCCGATGCATGGCCAAGCTTTTACAAGCAGGGACGCTGGATGATGCACATCAAATCATTTACTCAATTACAGTTGTGGCTCTGAGTGAGACTGAAGGGCACAATGAAACAGGACGTCCTGTAATGGCAGAAATGAGCAAAATTTATCTGAGGGCGAGAATCGCAGAAGTGAGTGCCATCTGTCCTGACATGAAGGATGATGAAATTCAAGAAACAGAAATGGACAATTTCACAGAGCCATCTCAGACAGACATGAAAGACTGGGTTACAAATATCATTGAGAAAGCCAAATTGACGATCGTGGACAATGGTGACAGGGACAATCTGCACTTTCTTCCAGAAATAATTCCTCATGTATTAAGGATATCTAGTTACCTCCCTTTGTGGACAAGCTGTGTTGAAGCTGAATTTAACAGACTAAAGAATGTTATCAAACATGAAAACTTACCTGTTCGGATAGACAGGTTCATTGTTCGGCACCTTGGTTCAATTGAAGGAAACATGAAAATTTCCAAAGCAACTGAAGATTGTGCCACAGGGTCCTCTCACAGAGACACAACTAGTACAATGTCAGAGAAAGTGATGGAACATGAGGATTATCCATCAACTGAAAACTGGAGAGGTCTTGGAGTGCCACCGAAGAAAAGAAAGCACACTTACCTTGCACCATGTTCTGAATGGCTACATGCTGATACATCTGTCACATGGAAAAAAGCCAAAATTCGACTGCTGAAAAATGGAAACTGCCTGACTCAACTAGTAACAACACAAGGAGAACAACTAATTGTGAAAAATACCTGTGCATTTGATTAATTCTGCCAGGTACTCTGCTGTGCATACTGTGACAGCGAGACCTTCAGCCAGTTTGTAGGCAATGCTGGCAAGTCCACTGAGGTTTTTGAACTTGTCCAGCACATTGTTCAAAAAGGAGTCGACAGAAAAGCATATTTACTGCGAACAAACATCTTAATGCACATGTTTACAATGACAGCAATGGAGTCAGGTGTTCAAATGCTGGATACACAGTGTCACATCTCAAATATAATTGCAAACACCATGAAGACTGCCCCAAGCATTATCGCTACTGGCTCCTGTTCTACCATTTATTGCTCAAGTCAAGCAGTTTCCAGACATATCCCTTTTGTATCAGCAAGTGAAGAGGTGTTGATCAATAAAGGAATGTCAGAGCTGAAAAGTGCGAACAACTCACCATGAGCAACACGAAATGCCAAGCCAGAATTCCAAACCCTGAAATATATCCTAGACAGTACCAGTCAGTCAGCAATCTCTGCAATGGCACAGTGATGCATTCATTCAGGACAGGACAACTCTTATGTGTTGATGTGGACCATGGCATCAACCAAACTCAAACAAATCTAACTGATTGCAGGAAGCAGAAACTTTGTGACTTGCCAATAACCATGAAGCTCCAAGATGACATGTTCACCCTGAGAGGAGCTGTAGCATTCTGCCCAGGACCAACTGTAGACTGTCTTGGCCACTATATTGCTTTTTGCAGGAGACCAAATGGCATCTGGGAGAAATATGATAATTTGAGCACAAAAGCCATTACGGTCTGTGAGAAAACAACAACACAGTTCCATGCAATTGTCTTTACTAAAGGCAGACATTTTTATCAGTGAACATGATCAACTGTGTTACAGTGATGTTTAATGCCTGGGTAGTTCCGTGTCAAATCATCACACTTTTGGACCTCATTGTCATAAATAAATTTTAAAAAATAGCATGCTGATTTGGTCATATGAGTAACCTATGGAACTGAAATAGCAAGCATCATGGATCAGTATTAAGGCAGATTTAAACTAACATAGTTTGAACTCACTGGGGGGGGGGGGGGGGGGGGGAGTAAGATATTTGACTGGCTACATCTCCCTTAATATAAGCTGCACAGAAATGGTTTTTGTATCGTTCTAAAGCTCTTTTCCAGATCTATTTTGCATAAATACTATGCTATCCACAAGATAATTACAATATTGAAAAATAGCCAAAAAAAAGGTCTTTTTTTTTTATACTAAAGCTAGCTTATAATGTCATGAACATCTCAAGAAAATTTGGTCTTTGGTTTTTCAGTCGTTGCCGAAAAATCTTAGCTTTCACTGATGGGCATGAAATAGTATGGCAAGCACAGGTGTCACTAATGAAATCAAAATGAAAAGGGTCCATATGAAACCACATGATGCCTCCTATAAGCTACACAGACACACGGTCAATAACCACATTTCCTGGAGATGTTCATGACATTATAAGCAAGCTTTAGTAAAAAAAAAAAAATGAAGTATAGGTTATAATCATCTTGGGTAAAGCATAATATTTGCGCAAAATAAAGAGCTGGAAAATAGCTTTAAAATTATATAAGAGCCCTTCTGTGCAACTTATATTAAGGAAGATATAGCCAGTCAAAGTCATAGCCCCCCCCCCCCCAAATAACTTCACTTTGTTAGCTTAAATCTCCCTTAATATTGATCCAAGATGCGTGTGGTTTCAGTTCCATGGGTTACTCATATGACCAAATTTAAAAGCATCCTAACTTTCATTAAAATCTGTGGTGATGAGGTTCAAAACTGATGATTTGAAACGGAATTACCCGCCAGAGAAATGTTAAAATTTTCATTGAAAAATTGTTAAATTTTATGTTTGAAAAACAAAATTAAGTTACAGTACGTGACGTTTGGTAAGACTGTTTAATGAACAATTAAAGATTACTTGGTGTTTAGTAAAGGAATAAAGTTTCCTTGCATTTAATAAACCATAAGTTAACATTTGAATCGCTGTGGACTAACGGAGACACTCCTGCAAGGGACTTGCAGAATAGTAAATGCACTGAAATAAACATTTTAGCTTAGTGTTGTTTCCTTCTACAAAATACTCTATGCAACACCACCATTTTTTGAAAAAGGCAACTGTGAGTATTATAAGCACTTGTTCGGAATCCGGTATCAACCACAAAACCTAAGGTCAAATGGGAGACTACTTACGCTACGAATCTCACGAAGATGTTAATCTCTGCCTGGGTCACAATCGAAACACACACACACACACACACACTGAAAAGAAAAAAAAAAAAACATGATCAACGTAAGAACTGCGCGTGCCGTCCAGTTGAAGCGCTCCGAATCTAACAGGGAGGTAACCCTTTCCCTTGTGAACGCCAGAGTCGGCAACACTAGGAGTGCAGGGGAGGAAGGAGGACAATATATTGTAAAAATATAGCGAAAAATATGTAAGGCATAAACTGAGAGGTATAACTCAGAAAAATAACAGTACAGACAAATTTTAAACGGCACATTGGGGCACAAACTATTGAGACCGATTGGGAGGCAAATGGGAGACTAACTTAACGGCGGAGTCACGTGACCATGTAAATAAGCAATATCTGCACTGAAGCAGCACAAAGGACAGTTTTAACGGCACAAACGATTGCGACTGGTTTGGTCGAAATCAGACTAAAATTGGAGGTGGAGGGGCAACCTTGCAAACAATGGCC